AAAGGAAAGGAAAGGAAAGGAAAGGAAAGGAAAGGAAAGGAAAGGAAAGGAAAGGAAAGGAAAGGAAAGGAAAGGAAAGGAAAGGAAAGGAAAGGGAAAGGGAAAGGGAAAGGGAAAGGAAGAAGAAAAGAGAAAAAGAGATGACCACTCTTGGTTCCAGCACTGGTCCAGCTGGTGGGATGTTGGGGTCCTGGGGGCATGCCCTGGCACCCCTGGCCTCGCTATAAGCACAGCAAAAGTTGACCTTGACCTAGGACTGTGTGTGTGCGGGACTGCTGGAACCAGGACACACTCCTTAGCAGTGGGACAGCCCCGCGGCGCAGCTGAAATGTTTGGCACTTGTGCCCCCAGCTCCAGGGACCAGCTCTGGCTGGGATTCTCCGGCTCCGCCCCTCTCAGTGTGYAAATGACTGCCGTGAGTGGGAATCGCTCATTCTTGCAGAGGATTAAGAGACAAAGCCAAAGGTAACATRGGAAGTAGCATTGGATGGGGTAGGAAAGAAACAAACTTGAGAAGGGTCCTGAAAATGAAATRTGGATTCTGTTTTCCATCAGTCCAAAATTAGACTGAGAATATAATTTTCTCTGTCATGATGCTGGAATGTGCTGGAGGGCCCAAAGCATAATCTCCTCCAATGTTGTGGGTATTTCAGCAAGATTACCACAGGACAGAAGCTTGGATCATGCCACCTCTCTGTCCCATCATTTTGCTTTCCAACCCTCCCAAAACTGCTGAACATGTTTCCCATTTTGGATCAAGTCTGGCTATGAGAGAGGGATCCCCAGGACACTCAGTTGCAACAAAACAACACCCCAAACCAGTGCCTCCACTCCTTAGAAAACCATCCGTGTAGGTCAGTCACAAGTCTTCATGGAAGAGCTTTTTTCTTTCTCAGGGTCACTGAGTTTTGCCACATAACTTTGTTCTTTTCCTGACACACAATTGGCTTTTTTTGTCAGAGGGCTGTGTGGAAATTTTCCGGTCTGGCTTAGCATCGCTTTTCTGGGAAGGTGGTGTCAGCAAAGCATGAGTTTCCTCTTCTAGCAAAAATGAAATAAGCTGTTTTGCAGAGCTGTGCTGAACCGTGAACGTGACCTGTGCTCAGCTTCCATCCCCTATGTAATCTTGCGTGCAAGTCATGGGTGATACCACTTGAATCTGACACAGTGATAACAAACATTTCGTTATCATCAGCAGCATGACACTGTTAACCCTTCTCAGTGCAGGTCCAGTGAACTGTGTGTGGCAACGACTGTTCCTTCTCCCTCCTGTCACTGATGCCTTCTTCCCTTTGCCCTCTCCTCCCACCAGTGYTGCCTCCTTGGGGAACTTCCTCATGAAGGATGATGTTGCACGAGATGGTGCAGGAGAGCCTTGGACTTGTCTCTTGCCCCTCTCTTATTTCTATAGGGACAGGAAATTTCCTTCCTGGCACCTCTCTTTTCCTTGTACAGCTCCAAGACATGCAGGTGTACAAAATGCTCTCTTTCCCCACTTTGTTGATGAGGATGGCCTGCAGTGGGGAAAAAAAAAGAGATGTGTGGCACYTGACAGCCCCTCCTGGCTGTTGTCTCCTTATGGTTCCCCATGCCAGCCTGGACAGGATGTGAGCAGGGGTACAGCCAGATGGGGCAAAGCCCCTGAAATGTGCATCATAGAACCACAGAATATCCTCAGCTGGGAGGGACCCACAAGGATCATCTAAGTCCAGCTGCTGCCCCTGCACAGGAGAGCCCCGAGAGTCACCTGAGGGCATTGTCCAAATGTTTCAAGAGCTCTGTCTGACTGGTGCTGTGACCACTTCCCTGGGAAACCTGTTCCAGTGCCCAACCACCCTCTGGGTGAAAAACCTTATCCTAAAACCCTCCATGACACAGCTTTATGCCTTTCCCTTGGGTCCTGTTACTGGTCACCTGTGACGAGAAGAATCTCCCTTGCAGCAACAGCATTGAGTGCAATAACATCAGGGGGAGGCAGGACACCGTGCTGACACRAGCAGCTTTCAAGTTTTGTCAGAAGTCCAAATAACCTTTCTTCATCATTAGTAGCTGAGTGTAGGTTTTGCACRCAATATTGGAAAACCTGGAGTATCCTGGCCTGCTGCATCCCTTTGACTTGTAAATGATCATGGGAACACAGAGACATTAATTCAGTCTTGTTACTGTCTTTTCCCTTCTGTATTCTGGGAAATATGCTGTTCATCTGTCTTGTCCTTTTAAAGGAAGGAAGCCGTTTAAAGATGCTGTGTTTTCACTTAATTGCATTAAGCAGATGTAACATTTTCCAGGATGCTCAGAAGGTATTTATGAGCTGAACTCCCACAGACAGATTCAAGAGGTAGGTGTGAGGTGCTTTTGAGGATGTGAGTCCTATAGCAGCAGTACGGTTGGGGCTAAGGCCCCTGGAGCTTGTGTACATGAAGAACACGTGCAGAAAAGAGTTACTGAGCTCATCTGGAGCTGGTCCATCAGTATTATGATACTTCTGTGGGTGCTGTTGGGTTTTGTGTCTCTGCAAAAACTSATCTGCACAAATGTTTCAGCTGAACATGAGATAGCTGCACACAAATTAATCAGAGGGATCCTGCAATTTCTCAGATAGAAAACAATTTMTGAAGGTCAAATGACTCATGGACTGTTGAAAATCATTTAGCAATTATAATGGATTAGGAAAARTATTCTAAAAAAAGATAACTGCCTACCAGTTCTTATTATTTCAATAAAGCATCACACCAACCACAGTRTACATTTCACTTGTACTGTTTTTTTCAATTGTATTTCAAATACCTTTTTTGTAATTTTGGTCTAGTATCTTTTGAGATGTTGAATGAATAAGGTTGCGGTGAAAGAACAAACCAAATATTTTGGCAAGAGATACAGTGGTCCTTGTTCTACAAGCATTTTCTAAATCTTTAATCATCTCTTAATGGTATGATTAGTGACTAAAGCAAGTATTTTTGAATGAGAAAGGGAAAAAGAAGCAGTGTAGACCTGCAGTAGTGTAGAATTATTAATAAGCCATGCTGATAAAAATAAATAATTTTTTATGGGAATCTTAGTAGAAGAAAAGAGCTGTGCTGCTGCCTGAAGCTATTGCATGTCAGTGTCCTCTTGACACTCATTTAYTTTGATTTTCAAGAGAGAAATGAGCATCGTAACAGCTAAGGCATGTTGTGCCTTCCTCTTGGTGTTTGAACACAAAGGGATGTCCTCCTCAGCTCATTGTGCAAGAATGGGAAATAAATAACTGTCGGCACCAATCTGGCTGAGACTCCTGTGCCTCTTTGCGACAGGCACTCATTCTTGCTGGCCAGCAGTGTTACAGTGCTCCTGTGGTGAATGTGCTGCTTTGGGCTTGAAMTCCTACCTGCCCAAGTGTTCACTGCCTCCCGCTTGGAGACCACTCATCACCCAGGGAGCTTTCTCCTGCAGTGCCTCTTGTGCCACCAGACAGCTCACAGCACTCCCTCACATTATGTGTCTCCTCGTATAGGAGGAGGAGAGCCATGGAATGCGCTTTCCAGCAACAAAAAAAATTTGGGAACCTCCCCCAAAACTGTGTTGGTATAAGACTAGAAATAAGCCAGCATTTTCACAGTGAAAAATTAATTGTCCAGTGTCTATTCATTGCACCATTATCTTCACCAGAATTGCAGTGTGTGTCTTATCCCAGCAGTTCATAGTGTTTTAATCCACCATAAATCCATGTAGAGTACATCATCTGGATCATTTAGGGTGATGGAAAGTGGTGAAAATTGATTGAATAGCCCTGGTATACCAAGACAGGATCATTTTGTCAAAWAAAGCTTTCTCTGTGGTCTTGAAGGGCCCAAAGCTTCCCTTTCCTCAAAAGCACCACTCAGGCAGCTGCTTCCTCCTCTTGGGAAGGGCAGAGAGCCTCTGCTACCATCATCTTACTGAACCAGGGGAAATTCACAGCCTCATGCTCTTGGATCCTTCCCAGATCACAGGAAGCTTCTCAGGAAAGGTAAATATCCCTGCTTGCCTGCTCCATTCTCTAGAAGTTGCTTGTCCAAGTCTGGGTCCCCACCTTTGAAAACAAACTCTTCCTTTCCCTAGTACGCTGGGGGTATGGTAAGCATCATCAACAGACAGAAAACCAAAGTCAAAAAAGGGAGAAACATCTGGAAAAAACAAAGGACCACTAGCTGAGGTGAAGCTGCAGGGGGTATGAGAATAGGTCCAGCCATAAATTGAAGAAAATGTTTGGTAAGAGATATGAAGAATGCCTGTTTCCAGACATCAGGAGGACATTACAGTGAATTCATTGCCCTACAATTCAGATGCTGTTATTTACTATGCATTTTTGGGTGGAGATTATTGAAAAGTGGCTCCATGGAATCACTGGAATTCAGAAAAGTCAAAATATTTTCATGTTGGGAAGCAGAACACAAACTGTGTGCTCTGTACACTGGCTGGGAAAGATTAGAAGGAAGTGGGGTGGAGAAATAGGAAATGACTGGAAAACGAGGTTTTGTAAGAAGCTTTGGAGAGATGAGATGTGCTTGCCAGTTCTGCAGGTGAGAGCAGATGGTCTACTACAGAAGTGTGGTT